AGCAAGCCGCAGCGCGGCGGGCCGAGGCCGTGCTGCCCGAGTCCCTGGGGGCAAAAGCTGCTGCTGCAGCCCTGCGCTCCGCTTTAAATATTTTCCAGTGCGGGGCGCTGGCTTCGCCGGCTTGCTTGCGCAGCTACACTATGTAATTTTCACTGAGAATAATCCAGTCGCCGCGCGCTGTGATGGTGTCGGCCGGGCCGGCCGGGCAGGGCGAGCGCGTCCGGCAGACTGTGTGTCGCTCTGTCTCTCTCGCACTCGTGGAGCGCCCCGTGTGCGTGCGAGAGAGACAGAGCGACAGCCCGGCCAGCCTGCGGGGTGGCCATTCGGCTGCCATTCGGGGTGACCGTGCGTGGCGGCCCCGCCGGCACAGCTGCGTGCATGGCTGAAGGGGTGGACCCCGGAGGCCGAAAGCCCCGGACCGAATTTAAGGTCGGGCTGCCTGTAGTACTTGTTGTAGCGGCCGGGGTGGCCGGGCCCGGGCAGTGCCACTTGGCCGAGGCGCCATGACGGCGTGCCGCGGCGTGCCGACCTCCGCGCGCGTAAATGCCGAGGCCCGACCAGGGTCGGCGGGGTCGGGCCGGGCGGCCGGGACGAGCCCACCGAAGGGACGGCATAACAACTCAATTCCCCGCGGTGCCCGGCGGTGCCTCCCCTCCCTCCCCTTCCCTCCGCGCACACACTCGCCCAGAGACGCCCCGGGGTCGTGTTTTCGAATGCCGCCCTCCGCGGCGCGGCCCTGCACGGCCTGCAGACTGATTCGCGGTCCGTCACGCTGTCTCTCTCGCACCCCGCGGAACAGCCCGGGAGCGACAGAGAGGCCGAAAGCGACGTTCGGAGTGCTGCGCGGGCTGCGCGGGCTGCGCGGCGAGGCGCGGCGAGGGGAGGACGACATGACCGAGGCCCGCGCGCCCCGCTGTACAAAGTGTCGGGTCCGCGAGAAGTGTGTGTGCGGTCGTGCGAGTGCGTGCGTGTGTGTGTGTGTACACATCGCTGTGAGTGTGCGTGAGCGCAGAAATGGAAATGGATCACTGCGGCACAGCCATGATAACAGAGCGTTTCGGCGCCGCGTCGCAACGCGTCGCGCCTACATGGAGAGGGTCATGCAGCTGTCCGGCGTGTCCCCGCAAAGTCACATTCAATCTCTCGTCTCCCACTGTAGGCTGATTCCGAGCAGTGCCTTCGTCGCCCTGTGTCTCCCGCAGCCCGGCAGGACGAGAGTGCGAGAGAGACAGCGCCGGGGCACTTTTCGGAAGGAGTGCCGGAGTGTCGAGCAATGACTGCTGCGGCGCGGGGCCGCCCGGGGAGGGCTGCAGGGAGGGGCTGCTTGCCGTGACCACCACGCCGTGCCCCGCGCCCCCTTCAAACCAGCTCAGGGCCCCCCAGTCCCCGCAGGCTGATTCCGAGTGTCGCCTTCGTCGCTCTGTCTCTCACGCACCCATGCGGGACGCGCCATGAGTGCGAGAGAGACAGAGCGACGGAAAGCGACCCTCGGAATCAGCCTGCAGTCCCGACCCGGTCTCGAGGGGCGAGTCGAGCTTGTTACACCTGAGCGTGAGGAAACGCAGAAACGCGCAGCGCTGCTGAATCAAACGCAGCAAGAAGAAGGACGAGCGGAACCAAATTTTTGGCGACATTTTTCGTCGCGACTGTTGAAGTGACGTCGAGAGTGACGGGTGAAGGCCGGAAGCAGCATCAAGCGACGCGAGGCGGGAAGGAAGGGCGAGGACGAATAATATCCAGGCCGCCAGGCGCGCCTTGTTTCGCGGAGGCCGCCCCGCCCCGCCCCGCCCCGCCCCGCCCCGCCCCGCGGCCCGACAAATGAAACAGGTAAGACAGACGCGACGCCCTGTCTGACAAACTTTGGTGGAAAACCAGACTCTCGGGAAGATACCGTGGCACGACGCCCGGCCCTGTGTAGCCCTGTGTAGCCCTGTTGTGCCGACCACATCCAGGCGCTTCCAAGACACTGCAAGGGGGGCCCCCTGGGGACCGTTGACAACTACCCCGTATGAGGAAACCGAACGAGTATTGACTGAGAAATTGAAAGGGAAAAGAAAAAATTTGAACTCTACACCCCCTCCCCAGTCTTAATGGGGAGGCCTCCTGCTTTACTTCGGTGTTCGGGATGGGAACCGGTGCTATCAGGTACCTGGGGTTAATCCCGTCAGCGACTCTAAGCGTTCGCCGGGGGACCCAGTAGGACCCCAAAGCTCAGGCAGCTGGGTGAGAGCACCCAGTACGAAGCTCTTAGAGGGGCGGGACGTAGAGTGAGACGACAGAGAGACAGAGAGAGACTCAGACAGAGAAGAGGTTTGGTGGGAGCTTCTTGTTTTCGTAGGGTTGGTTGTGTACCCCATGGTACCCCCACTGTCCGGCGCTCCCGTACCGAACATACAGCGTTTTAGGCCAGCTTCAAAGGACTTATCATCGCCTCCCCGACAAGTCAAGGAGGCACCACCCGCAACCACACACCGGGTGGTCTGGATTGATGGATCAAATACTCCATCGCTCCAGTGCCGAGGCCAACCCGCCGAAGCGGATTGCTTTTTAGACACCCACAGCGGAGTGGCCAGGTGAATGTGACTCTGACCACTACGCTATCACGCTTGTACGTCTGGCAGCGTGTTGGACGACGGGTTTGAGTTGCACTGGGAGGAAGGCGGTCGAAAAATGTAATGAAATGATGGGATTCGATCCCCGGACCCCGCCATCGGGATCACACGACTTTACGCTCTCGGCCACCACGGCCCATGATGAGGGGATGGGCGTGAGGTGGGTTCTTGACGCAACAGGACTCGACCGACCCGGTCAAAATTTCGCAAGAAGTTGGGGGAGTCGAACCGCCGACCCTAGCATTGGGAACCGACGCCTCTACTCCCTGGACCACCACGCCCCATGCACGGAGTGGGCTCACGTTCACGGGTTTCAACCGCACTGGGTGAGGCAGTAAAATTAAATGAAAATATTTGTTAGGAGTCGAACCTCCGGCATGTGGGCCTGTTGCACACGGCTCCGCTCTCATGGCCTCGAACCACCACCCTTAGGATAGCAAGTCGAAAAAACTTTTGTGACGCTGGTATTCGAACGCCAGCCTGCGGTAACTCGATCCCACGTCTCTAACCTCTCGGCTATCACAGCAGTTGTGAAACGCGATGGATCATCTGCTTTCATTAACGTTCGTTGAATGAGATTTTTTCATTTCTTGCGGTTGGCTGGGCTGGCCAGCCAATCCAGGCTCGGCGGGTTTGGTGCCAATCTCGGCCTGGCTGGGACGGGCCGGGACTGGCCCAGACTAGTCCAGACCCCCGTAAGGCGCTTTCTGACTACGTAATATGTGGACGCTGCCCAATTAGCCGAGGACAGGCACGTCTGGACCGGGCTCGGCCGAGGGCTTGGTGCTGCACAGTGGGCCAGAAGCCGGTGGAGGCGGCCAAAACTCTAGACGCGTTTTGAGCTCCAGAGTCGCTAAATGGGACTCGAACCGAACGTGTGAACCCACCAATGGATTGCTCTCCGAACGAGGAATCCAGGGTCACACGTTCGGTTCGAGTCCCATTTAGCGAATCTGGAGCTCAAAACGCGTCTAGAGTTTTGGCCGCCTCCACCGGCTTCTGGCCCACTGTGCGCTGCCTGGCGCTGCCTGGCGGGACTCCGGGACTGGCTCGCCCTGCTCCGCCCTGCTCGGCCTCAGACAGGATAAGCAGCTTCTCAGGGCCTCCTTTGGGCGGCCGGGCCGGGCGGCCGGTGCCGGGACGGAGGGACGACTTTGCGGGGAGTACTCGGGAGGCGCAGTCGGGCTGGAGCGTGCCTTTGAACACCTCTGCGAACACCAGCAGCCGGAAGAACAGCTCACGCCCCGAACTACACCCCGCACGCCCCACCCGACACCCCTGTGCAAGCCTCCGCAGCCTACACCATAAACTACACCCCTAAACCCCGCGCGGCGGCGCGCGCGACGAACGCAGAGCGGAAGGGTGTTCCCCACCGAAGAGCCGCTTCCTCGCTGTCTCCCTCGCACCCTCGGGGGCGCCCCGCGAGTGCGACAGAGACAGCGCGAGGCGTTCGTCACCCTGGCGGGAATCTTTTCTTTCCAGGATGCGTGAGGCGAGGCGGGGGTGGCCAGCCCAGAGAGATTACGCCGGCAATTTGTAAGCTGGATGCCCTTGAGGAATTCCACTTTGTCCTTTACGGAAGAGATAAAAGAAAACACTACACTTTTATTAGCTTAATTTGGAAGTGGCGCAAGAAAGAATATACCGGGGCACGCGTTAGGGCGTCGCCGCCGGCGGGGTCCGGGACTGGTCCCGGGCCCGCTTCGTGAGGAGACGCCGCACCAGCGCACCAGCAGCAGCGCTCCCCTCGGATTTTGACGACGACCTGAATGTGGGTTAATCGCTTCTTAAGACTCCCTCCGCAGCAGGGGGTTCGATTCCCGCAAGGCACTTTCTTTTTTCCGCCCCGTGGAACTCGAGTGCGAAGTTTGAAAGCGCGCCGCCCCTGGCGGGCCTGAGGGGGCTGAGGGGGCTGCGGGGGCTCAGCGATAATGCGCGATCTCCTGCTGTTGCACGGCCCAGGGCCGACGAAATAATCGACTGTCTACTCCCCCCCCCCCTCCTCTCTCTCTCTCTCTCTCTCTCTCTCTCTCTCTCTCTCTCTCTCTCTCTCTCTCTCTCTCTCGCTCTCTCTCGCACAAACAAAATTTCGCGCGTACAGACACTCGTCAAAGCAAATCGATAATATGTGCCGGTTTGTGTGTGTGTGTGTCTGGTGTTTTGTGGGACTTGTAGTGAGAAATATGTATGCTCGGCGCGTTCTGTTTCTGTGTGCGTCGCGCCGCTGGGGCCAATATTTGCTCGGCCAAACCAAACTGTTGTCGATGCCGGCGGGCGCGCGACCGGACGGCCACCAGCTCCGCGGGCGGTGTGGCCTGGCCTCGGCCGAGGCCTCCCAGACGCCTCCCCTCCCCTTTCCCGATGACGACAGTGTGCTGGGTGTTGCAGGTGCCGACGGGGGCGGGCAAGATGTCGCACTACTTCAACCTGCACGTGATGGTGCCCGCCGCCTTCATTCTCGGCAGCGGCGAGTACCACATCGGCGAGGGCTCCACCATCAGCCTCGTCTGCATCATCGAGAACGTAAGTTTTTTTCCCCCTCGCTGGACCAGCACACTGCATCCGAGAGTCGTCCCCGTCGCTCTGTCGCTCTCGCACTCATGGGGCGTGCCGTGCGGTTGCGAGAGAGACGGGGCGACGAATACGCGGCTCTCGGAATCATTCTGCAGTCGTCTTCAATCTGGCGATGGCGGTGATGGCGGCGTTGGCGGCCCATCTCGAGATGAAAGGCCTTCTTCGACACGCCGGGGTCGCGCGGGTCGCGCGGGTCACGTGAAGGCTTATCGGGGGTCATCGAAATGGTGCCGGGGGCGAGGCCTGCGAGGCCGACGAGGCCTGCGAGGCGCTCCATTCACTTCTCCAGCTGCGAGTACACTGCCGCGAAGAAGGGCCGTCAAGTGTCGCGCCGAAAAGTGGACGGCCTCGAGATAACGGGGCGTTCCGGCCCACTGGCCTCCAGCCCGGCCCGCGCCGATATCCCCATCGCGGTGCTGTGTTCCCGAGTTCTGGAGTCTGGAGTCTGGGGGTTCTGGAGCGGTGGCCATGGCCACGGCGGCACTGGCGCTAAACAGGGGCAGGGCCGCGGGGGCCGCGGGGCGGGCGAGGGGACCTCGGCAACCTGCCGGCAACTTATCGCCCGCTGATGCGAAGGTGTCTTGGAAATGACACACTCTGCTGAGATTACGGCGCACTCAAGGGCAACGTGGCCGCCTCCCCCGCGCAGGCCGAGGCGCAGGCCGCGCAGCGCCGCCGCCGGGCTCATCCCGAACGGCGCTCCGTCTCGTCTCGTCTCGCTCGCACCCATGGGCCGTGCCGGCCGTGCCGCTGCGGTGCGAGAGAGACGATGGTGGCCTCGCCGGGCCAGGGGCGGCACGGCGGCACGGCACAATCCCCCACTCCCCGCCCTCGCGCCCCAGGCCCCGACCCCAGGCCCTGCGCCCTTGCCCTTACCTTCCCCCAGACTTTGCGCGCTTCGGCGCGGCCTCCCGACCCAGCCCTCCCAGTGCTAGTGCTCCTACCCCAATCCCATCCGCGGCGCGACCACCACGTTGACGACGTCGGACGCCTCGCGCGAAGCCGCGTAGCCGCGAAGCGCGGCAAAAATCCGCGAGGCACCCCACCACACCCCGCCCCGCCGTACCGCCACTTTCCTAATTGGCTTCCGCTGTTGGTTCGCGCGCCTTGACGTGATCCTGGCCGCGCCGACGGAGGCGTGTGGGAGTGGCCTCGCCTCGGGCGCGACGCCGCGACGCCGTGACGCCGTGACGCCCTCGCCCTGCCGCCGCCACCGCCGCCGACGGCGACACAGAAATTCCGGGGATTCCGTCCAGCATCAGATCGGGTCGATTTCCCGCCCGAAGTTGGCCCACTAATTACAATCAGGGATGATATTACCTGACCCGTGAAACGACGTGGGGGGAGGGGGGCGCCCTCACGCCGCGCGGGGACTTGGGCGACAGTGGCGTGTTTTAAAATTCCCTTTCTTGTCGCACGCAAGTTGTTGCGCGGGGCTTCTTTGTTGGCCGCGGGCGGCCGCGGGCGACGGGGATGTACTTTCTTGCGCTGGCCGTCGGGCAGGCTGCGCTGCGGTCAGAGTCCAGTGGAAAAGAAACCGATGCAGTAATCAATAGCAGTACTCTCTTTTTGGGCGGGACGCATCTCGACGCGTCATCGCGTCCCCCGAGTGCCTTTTAGCGGTTCAAGGGGCGCGCGGGTAATCCCGGGCAATCTTCCACTCTGCACGCATGCGGCCCGGCGAGCCCCGGCGAGGACGCGCTCCGGCGAGAGAATAGGTGGAGGGGAGGGGGAAGGGGAGGTAGAGCACCATCAATCTTGCTGTCGCGGCGCCCGGCGTGGCCGGGCCGTGCCGGGCGTGGTGGGTGAGGTCCGCGGGGTGCAGATGGGCAGCCAATTAGGTCATTGTATGCCCACTTTCCCGCTTTCCGGTTTGATGGAAACGAATGAACCGCCGCCGCGCGCCGCCACTATATTGACTGGCCCCGTCCCTGCACGAGAGAGAGAGAGAGAGAGAGAGAGAGAGAGAGAGAGAGAGAGAGAGAGAGAGAGAGAGAGAGAGAGAGAAAGAGAGAGAGAGAGAGAGAGAGAGAGAGAGAGAGAGAGAGAGAGAGAGAGAGAGAGAGAGAGAAGAGGCACGGCCTTCTTGTTGGCCATTCCGTCAACGCGCGCGCCAACTTTGGCGGCGGGCCGCGTGCCCGTCGGGGCCAGGGCGCCAGGGCTGGCCAGGGCAAGCGGCAAGCGGCAAGGCCCGGTGGAAGCAGGGACGGGCAAGCGGTACGCGCCGCTGCCGCGGGAAAGTGGACTAATAAGTCCCACGGTGCGCCAAAGCGGCCAAAGCCTCGCACTCGAGGCCCTGGAGCGGTCTGCGGATAGAGAGGGTAGAGGGTGGAGCGGAGACACACCAGCCTGCGCGTGTGAGAGTGTGCGCGTGTGTCTCTGCGGAAGGGGGCAATATAAAGAGTTGGAAGTTTTGTGGGTTGTTTCTCAGTCGCTTCCTGAAGTGGCTTTGGAATGCTTCGCAGCCAGCACCCGCCGCCTCCCTCCCTCTCTGTCTTTCTGCCTCTCTCCCTCTCGCCCCGTGTGAGTTGAAAGGAGAGAGCCGAGCGCGGCAATAGCGCACGTGGCCGGGGGCGAAGTTGAGGCAGGTGCCTCGACCTCCACAGACAGACCGCGGGGCGGGGGGCGGAGGGGCGGCGGCACTCTCGGATTCGTTTTCCAGAGCGGCTGAAGCTGGCCCGCTGTAGGTGGGCTTGGCTCCGTTTTGGAGATTTGGAGGCCGTTTTGCCGCGGTTAAGACACTGCTGCTCCACGTCGGCCTCCGTCTTTTTTTCCGCCGTTTTTGCACCGTTTTTGCGGCCCATTTTGCATGACGCTCACCGCGATGCTCGGCGGTGAGAGGTCCTTGGCGGCGTGCTCGGCGCTTGCCCGAGGCGTGCCGCGTTAAGGGCTGATTAGGCCCTGCCGTCCCATTTTCGGCGAGCCATCGCCCGATGCTGAGGGCGTTATCCACGCCAAGGGCCCAGGCCCAGGGCCAAGGGCGTCTTGCGGGGGCCTCGCCCGGCCTTCATCCCTCTGCATTACATCCGCCCCCGGCCCCTTTCTCTTGATCAATGTCGACTTTAGTGCGCACTGCGCACTCAGCACGGAGGCCTACGTCTGCCCACGTCTGCCCACGACTGCCCATGGCTGCCCGTGGGCTCGCGGCTGTAGTGATGCCCCCGACTTGACTGAGGGGCAGACTGATTCCTCCCAGCGTTCCGCCTCCGTCGCACCTGTATGCGGGAACGCCCCGGGAGTGCGACAGAGACATTGGGCTTGTTTGTGTGTCCACTGTGAGAAAAATGTAGTACGGAAAAAGTACGGAACATGTCTGGTCAATAATTTGCCTGGAACGTCCGTACTTGCGAACTACGGAACGTTCCGTACTTTTTTTCCGTACCCATTTACATGGGTCATATCGCGGAAGTCGTACTTTCTCCGTACTCGTACTATATTTTTCTGTACCATTTCCATACAAAAGTACGGAATTTTTCACAGTGTCCGTAGGTCCGTAACGCAGATGCTTTTGTTGCAGAGCCCGGTGCCGCCGCAGTACGTGATGTGGTACCACAACGGGCGCATGATCAACTACGACACGGTGCGCGGCGGGGTGACGGTGTCCACGGAGCCCGGGCCCAAGACGCACTCGCGCCTCGTGGTGAACAGCGCCACGCACGGCGACTCGGGGAACTACACGTGCCGCGCCTCCAACACGGAGGAGGACACCATCTACGTGTCCGTGAGCAACGGTCAGTTTCTTATACTTTTTGCCCTCTCCTCCAAAGTGTTGTGCTGCGTCTCTTTCATCGTCCGTCACTGTCCGGGCACCCAAAGAAACGAGTAAGACTCGCTTTTTGTTGCTCGTCTCCGCGTCCGCCGTGGTCGGTATCGCCTGCCCCCGCTCCCATCTCGTCATTTCCTGCGAGTTTCATTTCGGTGCCGCGGCGACGCGCCACGCCTGTGTTTCTTCATTAGCGCATTGTTTTCAGTCCCGCCTGGCCGTTTGGCCGTTCCGCCGCCTCGACATTGTCCCATCGCCTCGCTCCGCCTCGCTCCCCTTTCCCTGTCGTCAATGCACTGCGAAGGCGAGCCGGCCGAGCGTTCCAACGGGCCGGGACGCGAATCGAGTCCCGCGGTAATTCCGTCTCGCGCATCGCAACCCCCGCGGAAGGGTGCAGTCTCAGTCCTAACGCGGCAGAAAACTTTTTTTTAAATAGAAAAGAATAATAAATAAATAAGGCGCCGTGGACGTGCCTATCTCTGCGCACAGATTGCAGAAGGGGTGGCCGGGAAGATGGATGGCCGCTTCATTTCTCCCGACTCGAACCGAGACTCGAACCGAGACTCGAACCGAGACTCGAACCGAGACTCGAACCGAGACTCGAACCGAGACTCGAACCGAGACTCGAACCGAGACTCGAACCGAGACTCGAACCCACCCAAACGCCTTGCGCAATGAGGCGTGCCGGCTTTTACAACCACTTTGCTCTCGCTGCAGACGGAACGTTGTCCCTTATTTTGAGTGTTGTTGTTGTTTTTTTCCGCAGAGGGTGACAACACGGCGGCCATCCAGGGCCAGGGCACGTCCTTCACGTCGCGGGTCGCCGGCCTGCCCTTCCCCTTCAGCGTGCTCATGGCGTGCCTCAGCGCGTGGAGGACCACGTTGTCGGCGTCATAGCCTGCATAGCCTGCATAGCCTGCTCGGGTGAGCTTTTCAAGAAATTTTCCACCTTTCCCTTCTAGGCCACTTCAACTGTGATGGGGAAGAGTTCTCTCATAGGCCAGGCTGCCACCGTTCACAGCAGCTATAAGACTCCAAACTTGTCTTCTTTCCCGAGGCGTGAGCGCGAGTTGCGCGCGAGCAGAGAGCGCCTTTCGGGTAGGCAACCCAACGAGCCGCGTTACAGTGGCGTGGGGCGGGCTGCCTATGACCTCGATAACAGGGGCTCGACCAGAGCACGATCGGCCTTTCGCCTGATGGTGCACTGTGTACTCGGCGGCAGCTTTGATCGCACCCCTTCCGGTGAGGCAGTGGTCGCCGCCCTCCCCGGAGACAGGAGACGGGCAGGCGGGGCAAAAAATGGGAAAGCAAGTAATGAGGAGCACTGCTGCAGCAGCGTCGGGCCGTTGCACAGTGGGCCAGCAGGCCGGTGGAGGCGGCTAAAATCCCGAACGCGTTTTGAGCTCTAGAGTCGCTTAATGGCACTGGAACCAAACGTGTGAGCCCATCAATGGATTGCCCTCCGAACGAGGAATCCATTGGTGGGGTCACAGGCCCGGTTCTAGTCCTATTCAGCTACATTGAAGCTCGAAACGCGTCTTAAGTTTCGGCCACCGCCGCCGGAATTCTGGCCCACTGTGCGTCGGGCCTCGCTGCCTCGCCGCGCCTGGCCTGGTATTATCTCGTGACATCCTCCTTGCCGTCCTCCTCGGCCTTTGTGGACATGATGCGCCAAATCAAATCCCCCGGGCCGCAAACACATTGCCCGGTCCGGGCGGCCGGACACAGGCCGGCAGGCCGGCAGGCCGCGGAACCTAACATCCTTGCCACGCCGGTATTGGTGTCCTTGTCCTGCCAAGAGAAAGAAGAAAGTTTTCCGGAAAGCACGCACACGCAATGACGACACGTTTCCTTGCTCTGTCCGCAGGGATGCCCGCAGGGATGCCCGCAGGGATGCTGGAGCTGGTCGGCCGCCGGGTCCTTCGTGGTCCTTGGCCGACTGACTGGAGGGGCGTCCTCTAGTCCTGCGCGGCCTGCCAGCCCTGCCAGTCTCTCCTGGAGCTGCCTTGGCTGCCGGCTGCGGCTGCTGCAGTGTGCCGCACCCCTTCCACCCCGTCCGCCATCCGTCCACTGCTCCCGGACGCTGCAGCGCTGTCCACGCCCCGCGCCGCTAGCTGCTAGCTAGCTGCCCCATGCAGAGCGCGGCCGGCGTGGGCCCCGCCACCCTCTGCCCCACCCCACACGTGGGTGTCGAGTGGCCAACCTCATCGGACCCTTCTTGAAAGTGTGTGTGTTTGTGTGTGAGTGAGTGTGTGCGCCAGTTGCAATGCGTTGCAATGTGTGATAAGGTGATGTCGCGTGGAGGAGCCGCCAGTGGACTCCCGAGACGCCTCAAGTTAAGTGACGTTGAGAATAGTGACGCAGTAGCACTGTCCGTGCCGCGTCGCCGCGTCGATCGGACAAAGAGTTTTGTGTCGTAGTTACACTGTGAGTAAATTTTGGTAGTGTTTTTTATACATCTGTTGGCACTGTGCTGACGGCACGATGCATTCCTCTGTCGGCTCAGACGGTGGTGGAGGATTCAGACTTTCGGCCATTCTAACAGCCCCATTTGGCGTGACACCCAGGGACGGGACGGGACACCTGCCCCTTGCGCGCCGCCTCCCTCTCTTCTCATTGCACCCAGTGACCCAGTGTGCCTCTCAAAAACCGATGAACCGATCCACCAATGGTTTGTGATCGCGTGTTTACCTAGCCTTGACCCAATAAGAAAAACAAAATCAGCTGCTTGGGATGTTTGAACCTTTGCTTTCCCATGACCTAAAAAATTAGCCTTTGACTCACTGTCTCCTCGCCCACCCAAAGAGTTTCAAGACACCCCTCGGCCTAGCCAGGGCGCCAAGGCCTCGTCTATCTTTACCTTCTACTCGAGTTAGAGCGAACGAAGTTCGAAGAAAGGCGGCAAGCGAACAGGCGGCTTGGGCGTCGTCGCGTTTTTCACTTACTACAGCCTGCGACGCACATTCCGCTGGCTTCATGATTTCATCTCGTAAAGTTGCCATTCCATAACCACTTCAAGTCGAAACTCATTGAAGCTGTGAATATAATTAAGGTTATTGTGAGTGTGAAGACTTGTTAACGGTTAAATTTGAGCATAAATTTAATTGACAAGTTACAAAAGGCGACATCAGTGAGTGTGGTTGCTGTCAAATTATTATTTTTGTTTGAAAATTGAATAAATAAAATGTACTTCTTAAAGATGACAATTTCCATTTCCTTTCTGTCCCTCAAACACCAGGTCATTTAATAACTCATCAAATGAGTTGAGCTCTAGGGGGTTGCTTGCCTGTATCTTTGGCGTCAGATAAAAAAATTTCAATTCTGTCTGGCCCCCTGTGTACTCAGAATGAATTGGAACATTGATGTGTGATGCTACAAGCTCTCAAATAAAGTTTTATTTGGTTTAAAACTGACCTTTTACCCTCTCAGATTATTACATAAGTGATGAACGATATCAATTCAGGGAATGAAATAAGGAACCATACCATATTCACATTTGTTTTTATTGAAAAAAAACAAACAAACAAAATCAAATTGATTTTTGCATCAAGTTACAATATAGCTTCAATAGAACAGTGATACAAGATAATTTCATTATACTGTACTGCATAGCAGTACAATTAATAAGTAAACTTTATGAAAGAAACATTTTACGAAAATCTGAATTACTTTTCGGTTTTGATGTACCATTGGCATTTCCAGAATCTCCATTGCTGCTCTTAGCTTCCTCTGCCTTCACTTGTAGAGCACGAGGTACCAGTGAAACTTGGGTTCTACCTCGACCTCTCCTGGAACACAATTCAATTATTTTCATCATTTAACCTGTCAGCAAATCATAGCTTACAATTTAACTTTAATTTAACTTTAGTTATTTAACAATAAAATAACAGTTCATAAATAAAAAGATGCTTACGCTCCAAAATCTTTCATTCCTCCACCAAGGGATTGAATATTAGAAGTTGAGGCTTCATTTCGATCAGGGATGAGAGAGGTTCTGCGATCAGGTGGATTTGAAATAGCCACAGACACAACTTTGTCAGCCATTGTCATTCCATCTATTTTGATCAGGGCATGAGCAGCTGATGCCTGGATTTAAAGAGAATATAGATAATTACCTTGTGCATTTGCAAACAAAATGAAGGACAAAAACAAACCACTGACCTCATCCACAAAATCAACATATGCGAATCCTTTGAAATGTCCATTGCGGTATGTTACAAGTCGAATGTCTTTCACTTTACCATACTGACCAAACATTTTTTCCAAGTCTTCCTTTGTTGTTGAAAGTGGAAGACCTGTCAACAATTAAGACACATTAGTAACTGAATGAAATGAAATTTTAAAAAAATCAGTGACACATTTACAGTGACACGCCTTCATGATATGAAAGTCATGAATAACATTACCTTTCACAAAGAGTTTATTTTTCTCCACTGATGTACTGTACTTAAAGCTATGTTGCCTTGTGTGTTTGTCTGGATCACACTTGGATACAAATATTGGTCTCCCATCAATTGGCTCTCTGTCCTTCTTCAGGGCTTCATTCATTTCATCCTAGATATAAAAAAATTAACATACTTGTATTTTTTTTAAAAAAGAGAGAAAACTGCAGCAAGTCTAGTATGAAAGAAAGAAGGTACTTACAAATGAACTAAACACAACATAACAAAATCCTTTGGATCTGCCTTTGAAATCTTTCACAAGTCGTAATTCAGTGATAGTACCAACAGATGAGAAGACTTCTCGGACTTGGTCACTGGATGTAGAATAATCTAAGTTACTGACAAAAACTGTGCGATTATCCTTAGAAGGATCATGTGCAGTGACCACTCCACGATCATCTGGTGAATCCGTATTATCTGCAATCAAAACGTTTGAAAGGGTAGAATGTTAAGTAAAAAGAATTAGACAGAAAAATAAAAGAAAAGAAATGTGGCAGCTTAGTTCACAGGATTACCTAGTTTTGGTTTTTTGGGTGAAATTCTTTCAGGCTCAGACTTGGGCAATAAGTTGCTGAATTTACCCTTTGATTCATTATCTTTGGGAGCTGGTCTTTTCAGGGACACAGCACGGCGATCCTCTGTTGAGGAATTATCAGTTCCCTTTTTTCCTTTTGACTGCTTTTTATCTCCCTTTGAACAAATATGGATATAATCAATGGATATAATTGCACACTTCAACTTCAATGGAAAAGAAGAATAAAATGTAAAGTACCTTCTTAGATTGTGTTTGCTTGGAACCAGAGCCTTGTTGATTTTCTGCTTCCAGTTCAGCTGCTTTTTCTCGTTCTGCAGTAACCTGCTTAATCCTGTTCAAAGTACCAATCATATGTCATTTAGAGGATGGAAATTTAAAAAAATAGGAAAAAAAGAAGTTAACCCTCTTTTCTTCCACATACCTCCTTTTAATTGAAAAACAAAATCTTACCTGCTCCTGCACTTAAAGAGAGCTTCTTCATATGAATCTAATGTACCTTCTACTCTCTCAAAATGTAGCCATTCGTCTACAATACTTTCTGGCCAATCTCGAGTAGATTGCAATGCTCTGGGAAACAACTTTCGGAGGTGTTTAGAATCTCCATAAGCCCTGAAACAATTGGTCCATTTACAGATTAAAATATACAATTCCTGCAAACATAACTGTGCTAATAAAAACAAACATAGAACATAAAAAATTACATTTCTAAATGAACATATTGCAACCAGCTGGCAGCAGCATTTTTGTGACCCTTATACATTATATCATTCCAAGCCTTTCGTGCTTCCTCCATTTTTCGACTGTGAACTGCCTCTACTGTTGCCAAAAATCTGAGGAGATGGCAAGCAGGATCACCCTCCACACCAAAGTCTAAAGGAGGGGAAAGAACAAGAAATAAGTTTCAACATATGAAGGCAAGAACTTCAACATATTTCAATTACCCACATTGCTCCAAATGTTCACAAGCAGTTTTGACCGTATTCCGAAGTTCAAGTAGCAATGGACCTTCTCCTTTGGAGCCCCACTCAATGCGACGGCGTAAATATGAACAATACTCCAGCCATAGATTGCGGTAATCTTCAGCAGTCTGCATTCCAGATTTCAATGCTTCTTCAAAAACATCTGTTAGTAAAACAAACAATTTATAAATTTAGTTTTATGATGGGAAGAGAAACTGTACACCTTTAAAAAGCTCCTCAATTACCTTTGATTGCATCATGTGGCTTTGAAAACTTTTCCATGCAACGTATATTCTGCTGCCACAATAGGGAGAACCATGGACAGTTTCTCACAGACCGCTGACACAGTTGCAAAGTTTTTTCACAATCTCCAATGCTATCAGAGAACTCAATGTAACCTAACCATAGGGGAGCATCAAGTGGGCAATCTGACAAAGCTCTTTCAAAGAGGCACAGAAGTCTTACAGGCTCCCCTAAATTTTGTTCAAACTTTAAGTACTCTTTATAATGGGTCACCTTCATACTTTCCTCACACGACACCTGAAAAGGAATACAAAAATTTATTGCATGAAATGATAATAAGACTTGTAAGAATCAAAGTAAAACGGGAATTAAAACAGATTATTAAACAAATAATATTGGAAATAGATACCAATATATCTTCATATGGTTGCAGTTGATGAAGCCTATCCAAAGCCTTTTTATACACAAGATCCACATTATTTTTCTCCACAAGAGCAGATTCTGGTTTGCCACTCGCTGTGGTCCACAAAGCTTTGTTCTCTTCCAACCATTCTTCAAAGACTGCACGTGTTTTCTCCATGTTAAATAAAGGTACAGAAAGCTGCCTTTTGAATAGATTTGCAACTCTCTTCAACTGATCTGCAAGAGTAGGATTCTCTCCATCACCACCTGTCATCTGTAAAAATCAAAAGAAATAGTAACCCACAATATATTTAAAATGTGCCACAAAAAAAATGAAGTTGACTTGAATTCATACCAAACCAGCAAGAACTATATTTTCAAACTCTCGATATGATTCCCACAGAAGAGCTCCTTTAGGTACATGAAGACCAGCAGCCATTAAAGCTCTTTCGAATACTGTCCGCACTTTTTCAATACTTCCATCAGGTTCAGCCATATATCCAATAGTGAAGCTCACATATTCTAGCCACACTTCCACAGCTGTGAAAAAGCAAATGAGTGAATTCAGCAACACATTTACATGCTTGAGAAAATTCGCATGGCATGTTAAGAAACAAAGCAGTGATTCCTGAACTTACAAAGATAGTCTTGCACAGCTCGGTCAAACAAACTAACCAAGGCAGCTCTGCCCTCCGGAGTGGTCGGAGCATCAGTTTGTCGTTCATCCTCAATCCAATTCAACCATAATTCTGCAACATTGTATTTAAGCAAGTAAAAAAATCTAAAGTAACAAAAATACACATAGACATACATGATAAAAGAAAACAGAAATAACGTGAGAATTGACTAACCAGGGGAGAGTGGAAAAGTAATGTTCATAGTTTCTCGGGCCTGCCGTAACAATGATACGTCACCCTTCTGGCGGAGACGTTTAATTCGGTCCACATGCGCATCATAATGTGAAGGCTCGGGCTCAGGCAAGTCCTCAACCTGAAATTGATACTGAGACGTTAACCAGTGTCAAGGCAGGCATAGCTATTACAAGGTATAACCCATTTAAGACGGTGCAATAATTGGCGTCCAGATAAATCATTTTTATAATGCAACCACAAACGTCTTGTCATATCTTGGTAAAATGAAGATACAGCTGTTTATATTCTCTGTCGACATGAGTAAGAGGTTAAGCTTACCTCGGGTTGTTCCATAGCGGCATCGCTGTCACTTGAATCATCTGAATCGTCCGAGGAGTCATCACTATCGGAGTCGTCAGGCACAGGCATCGTCGCAGGCATCACAGGACCAATTACGGCCACCTCAGACTCGTTACTTTCGTCAACATCCATTTCAAATAAACGACACAAGTGCGAACTTTGTGTTTACTGTTTTGATTGAGCCGCTTTAGCTTCACCACCGCTCACCACTTTATTCGCATTCGAAGCGAAGGCGCCAGAGCGCGACACCGTCTGCTGTGACGTCACCATGGGACCTCTAGACTGGATAGCGTCAAAAAACGCAAAGACCCAAAAAGTGGGTTAAGTGAAAGGCATTTTCACAATACCGGTGCCTTAGATATTTGTACTGGAGAGTGGTTTCAAAGTGACAAAGCAAAATAAGAGAGAGACAATTGTGTTGGGGTTAGTCGCCACGGACCTCTAGAGTAGTTCCAACAGCGCCCACCACGAGCAGATAGAGCGCGCTGAGCTTTGTTCTCAAATGGCCAATCAGGTGTCGCGCTTCTCCTGCCTCTCCCAGCTCTCCCTCCCCTCGCATGTCGTGCCTCCTAGCGTCTGGTGATTAGTGGAGGGCGGTGGTGTGCAGAAGACAGAGGACGGTGGACTGTTTTGTGAAGTTCGTTCTCAACAATTCCAGAGCCTCTGTACATTTCGTAATGGATTTTACTCAAACTATCTTGAGGGACAACCCCTTGAAAACTCCTCGTGGCAACCTTGTGGGTGGGTACTCAAAATAATGTATTATAGGACAAAAAAAAAATAAGATCACCTCTGGAGGTCTAGGTTAGAGTGATTAGCTTGATAATCAGCTGTTGTTCTCCTATGTATCTCAGTCGAATGACACCTTTTAAAAATTAACCGTTTCAAAAAGCAGCTTCCTTCTGCTTGCTGGTATTCTGATTACTCTAAAAGGCACTCTGATTCTTTGCAGGTTCTTTCGTTCCCACCCTACAAGCCCCACTCATAAGAACTCCAGTTACTGACATGATTGGAAACCTTTTCTCAGCCCAAGAAGGTCCCACATTTTGTGCGAATATGGAAATGATGATGCTGAATTGTCTTGACCAGTACGGATACAACCGTGGCGTTAAAATGTGTGGTGGATATATCCAAGATATGGAAGAGTGCCGCCATCAGACTCTTGAGGTAAGTTTTCATTATCAAGTCCTGAGCCTTTCAAAACAAAAAATTTCCTTATAGGATATGAAGTACCGGGCATATTAGTGTGAGTGTTGAACTTGGTCTTTGCCTTCCAGCTTATGCGTGTCAACGTAATGAGTGAAGAGCGAAGGCGACAGTACCGTGATGGCAAGAGGCAGAAGGAGTATGAGGATTGCCCTCCCCACCAGTGAGTCCAGGTCAGATTACCTGATTTAATGATAGTGTCAGCTGTCATTGTAATATTGTAAATCAAAGAATGTGTTAATCTGCTTCATGTAGAAATCTTTGTGATTAAATTCTGTTACACTATTATCTATGATGTTGGGTCTTTATTTATTGAAAAGTTGGCTCATAATTGATAAATCTTTATATATATGAAAATAGCTTTTTAGATAATTGATTATCACAATCCACAATCAGTATAAAGTCCGTGGCTTTGATTTCAATAATTATGGTCAAGCGTTCCTGTGAAGATGGACAGTATTCCACAACCACAGCCCTCAGCGATTCAGTCTCAAATATAAGGCATGTTTACACTCTTTTGAACCAGCTGGAAGATATTTATCATAAAAGTCTTGGACAAGCTCCTCAACTTTAAATCCAAACTTCTGGTATAACATCACAGCAGGGTTTGTAACTGACACATGAAGTGTTATGTCCTTGCCCATGCATGTCTATAAAAAACAAATCAAATTAAATCAAAAGTAAAATACAAATGAAAAAAATTCATTTTTTGGTATAAAGAAGTAAGTTTACCTGTATTAGATGATACAGCATGAATGTAGCAATGCCTGCTCGTCTCCACTCAGGCCGAGTGAACAGAAAAGATATGTAGGATTCATTGTAATTCACATCTGGGACCATGAAAGCAAATCCTATGACAAGCTTTCGGTACAAGGCGACACAACTGAAGTCGGGATAAAGGAGGCTTTCACTTACTGAAAAAGACCAAATGTTTGATTCAGACAGCTCAAAGGCAAACTAAAAGAAATTGACTCACCTATAACACAACTTACAATCAATCCCAGGCCAAAAAAACAATTCACAGAGACTATTAATGGCTGGAATGTGATGTGGTTGTACATATGTGTAATCTATCGGGTAGCGTTTGGACTCAGTCCTATTTGCTCTCCTCCTCAGATCAGCCATTAGCAGAAGCCTCAATGGTTCACTCTGGTAATCTCTTCTTATGAAAGGCTTCAATAGCCTAAGAACATTACCAAGATAAGATAAATAATTAATTGTGTTATGCATGGGCACACACTTTATGCCTGAGTGCACAAGAAGCTTACCTCTCAGTGTAGGGGCTCACAAAACATGTAGGTTCGACTCTACCCAAGAGGCGCAGCATGAAAGAAGATTGACAATTTTGAGGCGGTTGACTTTCTTCCGAAAAAGCAAAAACCTGTTTAAAAATAAATACTACAGTTTCTGTGTTTTGACATAACAATTGTCCCTCATCCCATTATATATGAAAATATTTTGTTTAATTTTTTTAAAGAAATTAAAAATAAGTTCATGAATTACCTGGTACCTATCAAGAGTGCGTGAGCTACTTTTCTCCAAAGAACTATTACAACTAGAATTAACATTGTAAACTGAAGATGATACATCAGCAAAAGTTTCTAGACGGCGATGACGCTGCTCTCTTCTCACAAGCAGCTTCCTCTGTAGTCGTATAATTTGACTGGGCACGGGAGGTGAGTCTTTCCCAGTGTATTTTAAAAGCAAGTTAAGAAGATGGAGCTCCTCATACTCAGACATGGGCACACAACTGTAATTCAATGTTCAAAAGTAATTTATTAGTAATACGTAAGGTGCAAATGTGATAAAGACATCAAGTTTTATGGCATACCCTTGGGTCTTGTTGACTTGTGAAACGCAATCTGTTAACCACGGCAGTTTTCTGTCCTGTCGACACTTGAACAGGCTCTTAGGGGGAGGGGCTGGGGCATCCCCTTCGTCACTGTCACTGGACCCATCAGACTCTTTCTCTGACAAGTAACTCCCACTAGTACTCATCTGTCCAGGCTTAACCAGAGCATGTACACTGCTTAGAGAATCTGAATAGGCATCTTCGGCCATGACATACTGATCAACTAAATCACTCAGTGCTGAATCCATTCTAGGAAAACCTTCTTTATCAATATCAGTTGGCATATCAATATCCACATCCAGACTTTCACTATCTGAATAACTCAATAAATCTGCATCTAAATCAGGAGATATGCGATCAGAAGCATTTGCAGAAAACATATCAATAGAAGAACACGAATTCTGAGGCTGCAAATCTTCGTCCAGAGTCTCCTCTTCATGGATGCTTCTAGCAGCACTTCGCTTCATGTCTTTTAATCGTACTATGTTGAATGGTGACATGTTATCATTGGTGAGCTTCCACCAACCTGACTCTCTTAGCACATGTGTACCAGTTTGAAAGAAAGACGGGCTGTAGTGGGAAAGTGTTCCCGACACTGTTCCATGCCATGCTCGTTTCCGACGAACATTCCCACCAAATATATAGTTCCATTTCCGGTCAATAAAATCAGTTATGTGTAATTTCCAGTGGAAAAATCCATGTCGGCTTAAGTGCTGCATTTCCTGAAGATTATACAGTGCCAAAACCAGCACTGTGAGCCATGATACTTTTTCCTTCGCTACTATCTCCACTCCTGCAGGACTGCACAACTTGCAAGTGTATTTATAAAACACATCACCCAACAAGCTGCACTCTGATATCCTGACGTTTCCTGCCAGGCACAAGAAATGGACACAAGCTTCGCAACCGCTACACTTGAGGCAGTGCTCATCCCTGCACCCTGAAGTTCTTTGACCACAAAATACACAATTGACGGTGTCGTCTTTCGATGTGTACACAGTCACTGAGCTTTCCTCAAATGCCATAAACTCCTCCATTCTGATTGACGCTCTACTTCATGAATGATTCGACGGTATTTACTAACTTTTAGAGCCCTCAACGAGCAATCACACAATCATGCCGTTTACACACAAACAAACACGAACTCAGCGCCCGAAGCGCCCCTGGTGGTCATTCCCGGAACTAGTCTGTCAAAAAGCCGCCAAATTCAAACCGAACGGATAGATTTGCGAAGCCTCAAGGTGACGATAGACAATTAGATGATTAGAGTGGCCGAGGCTTGTTTTTTGCCCTCTTTTTTAGGAAAAACATCAGGCCAAGGTTGCCGAAAGGCGAACCTATGGCAACGGCTAAAATCTCCCAAATTGTCGCAGGCGCTGAACATTGCCTTCGATTTCGAGCCCGAACTAATGGGCTTTCCCCAGCCTTCTGTGCTGACTGTGACTGACCAAGTGGGGGCCTGGCGTTTTGAGGGAAAAAAATTGTGAACATCACTAATGATTTTAAATATTTTTTTTATTTCTCATTTATTTTCTTTGGTTTAAATAACATAAACGAATCACCGCATTTAACTTTCTATTATAATTTTGGATTAAAAAACAGAAATGATGTAACAAAACCTAGTGCAACATTGATTGACCTACCTCAATATTGTAGAAATAATCTCATCAAAGCTGTTGATGTATTCAAATTGAGAATTACAGATACATCAGTAAGAATAACAATATTGTGCTTTGTTCTTATCAGTGAGGAATTATACTTAAGGTACAGAGAGTTCCAGGATACAATTTGGAAGTGATAAATTTATGAAATGCCCAATGTCAAACAAGTAACAGGGAAGTAACAAAACTTTTGAGTGACTGCAAATGCATTATGAGGATGAGGAATGTTCTAGTTAGCTAGTAGTTTGTATTGAGTACTCGCCAAAACTGGTATGACCATTACAATCAGTTTGATAGCTTTCTTGTACCCTTGGAATAGATATAAATGCATTGCATTGAAACCCTAAAAGAAAAGTTTCATGATGTGGCATGCATATAAAGCTTGCATGACGGATTGGTCCCTTCCGTCAAGGACTGCAGTTTAGCCATACGTATAGGTAGGTCATGTTTCTCACATATATTGATGAAAATATAAACGCTTTATTGATTGATATAATTATAAGCACCCTGGCTCTGACAGAATATTGAAACATCTATGCATGCATCTACAACATTGTAAAACAAACACAAGTGAGAATATACAAAGAGTACTATAAAAAAATTTGAGCACAAAACTGTTTTTACAAAAAAACTAACATAACATTTGATGTGATCATAAGTAGGGTATACTACTGGAATATAAAATATAAAACTTCTATCACAATGACAACCCACCTTTTCACTATTCAGAAATATTTCTTGACATAGGCAAATAATTTTTAAAAAAGAACATATATCACGTTTAACGAAGTTGAAACATAACATTCAAAGGCACAGAAGAAATAATTCCCTATGCATATAACTTTACAATCAACCTGTACAATCAATGTGGTTTAACATTATTGAGTGCATCTTTTGCTATAAGATTCAGAATATAAAAATTCTGAATTGCGTAACTCAGAGACCTGTTTGCTAGTTTACTTAAGAGATTGCAGTCCATTAGGTGAGTGCATGACTGCTTGATCTGACTGAGTATGCTTTTTCAGAGCTTTATGTTAATGAAACCCTTACCTAGTGGGTGAGCAGCGTTTGGTGGACGTCAAATAATTGAAAATTGGCAGAAGCATGCACACCCTCAATGCTCTAACAAACGCTAAGGCATTCATCACAGATATACCTGTGCAGTACAACAAATTAAACAAATAACAAGAATAGTTCTCTGGCATATTTAACTGTAATTACTCATTCACACTGAAATTTAATACTTAACATTGAGTTCCCTCAAACATATTGATATATGCTCAAGGTGCTAATGTCCTTCCCTCTCCATCAAGTTAAGCAAACAAACATACGATCTAAGATCTAAGATCAGCAAATTTATTTCATTTTAGACTAGTCTCCCATTCTCAAATTCATCACATTTAGCTATATCTTTCAATTATTTTATTTGCACAAGTCTTATGTGCTGAGAGAAAAAATAATAATCCTTTTCATTATCCACTTTCAATCAATCAGACCCTCACAATGCTGTATACTTATTGACTCATGCTCTGAGAGAATATGCCAGTGTGCAGACATATTCAAGGGAAAAACAAATTCAGTTCATAATGATTCTATTCTTGTGAAGTGTTGGCACATTAAGACATTTTCCTAAAAGGATATGCCAGGCAACTGCCAGCAAACAGGAAATGATTGGACTGTAATAGGGCTATGATTGAATTAGGATTAAATCAAGCCGGAAAAGAAACATCAAAATTATGTCTTGGCAGCTAATTTAATCACAATGCTGAGAAAATCCTAAAGCAATACATCGGACATTAATATCAAACATCACTTTGATTTTTAGTTTCTGGCTCAGAAGAGACAGCGTCATCCAACTACTCTGCTGGGACGGCTTCAAACAGGTGTGCAGAAGCGTTATTCTACAGTTGACACAATGACCACAATACGCTACTCTTTGGAAGAAATTTTCACAGCATGATCTGTTACTTGATTTTACAATAATGTGAGCCAACGAGTGCTTTCACGAATCGGCCTGCGCGGGCTGCTCCACGCCACTCGTCTTCTCCTCCCCGGCTCCCTCCCCGGCTCCCTCCCCGTTCGTCTTGCCACCCTTCTCGTCCTCGAGCCTGGTCCTGCGCTCCGCGTCCAGACCGCCCTGGGCGCCTTCGGTGCTGGCGGCGCCGGTGGCGGGCGACGCTTTCGCCACATCATCGTCCTGGCCACTCTGGCCGCGCCCCTCCCCGTCCTTGGCGTCCGAGGCGGTGGTGGCGCCGGTGCTCCCGGGGGATGGCGGCGACGCCTCCACCGCGGTGGGCAGCGGCGTGGCGCCACGGTCCTCGGCCTCCTCGTCGTCCACCTCCTCCTTGACGACGGACGACGGCTCCTGCTTGACGCCCTGCTGTTGCTGCTGCAGCGCGTGCGCCTGGCTGAGCAGCGCCATGTCGAGGGGCATGGGCGCGGGGTGCTGCACGGCCAGGTGCACGAGCAGCGCGTCGCGGTCCGGCAGCACCTCCTTGCAGAGCAGGCACACCTGCATGTCGCCGTCCAGCGCCACGCCGCCGTTGTCCTGCATGCCGTGACTAGATCGCAGGTGGGCGGCGAGCGCGCGCGCCGACGGCAGGTCCTTGCCACAGATGAGGCACCGCGGCCTCGGGGACGCCGCCGACGTGCTGCCGCGACCGCCGCTGGCCTCGCGGTCCCGGCCGTTGCTGCGGCCCGGGGACTTCCGCGGAGACTTGGACGCGTCAGCGGCCAGCGCGCCGCCGGGCACGGTGTAGTAGTGCAGGTCCAGCCCGTTGGAGCCTAGCGCGCTGGACAGGTGCTGGTAGAACGACGCCTGCGCGGCCTGCGCAGCCTGCGCCGTGTCGTCGTCGTCGCCAGGCCGCGGCTGCGCCAGGGCGTGCGCGTGGTGGCCGAGCGTGTGGTTGTCCAGCTCCGCGCGGAAGAAGAAGCGCAGGCCGCAGTGCGAGCAGTCGTAGGGCCGCGCCGCCAGGCCGTGCTCCAGCATGTGCGCCTGCAGAACAAGAAGGGTGTCACAAGGGAAGACAAGACGGAGGCTAGAGGTGCGTGGAGGACTGCACCGACCTGGAGGCCGCGAGCGGCGGTGAACACGGCGCTGCAGATGTAGCAGGTGAAGGACGCGCAGCCGGCGAACGTGTGCTCGATGAGGTGCAGCTGCAGCTGCAGTGGCGTGGACAGCTGGCGGCGGCAGAGGCGGCACTCGTTGGCCGCGGAGCCCTCCGCCAGCAAGTGCGCCGACACGTGCCGCCGGATGTCGCGCTCCGTCTCGAAGCTCGCCTGCCGGTGGAGGAGGTAGAGTCAGAACCGAGACCAGCACGGCACACGCCGGCACGCGCAGAATGTTGGAGTAGCTAGGAGTGCATAAAGCCCATCCAAGAGAGTGCAGTTCTTTACCTGACACTTGATGCACTGGTACGTGTTCTTGTGCACGGAGGCCATGTGCGCTTCCAGGGCGGCGGCTGACTCCGTCTTGACGCCGCACTCTGCGCAGCGCGGCGGCGTGGCCGCGTCCTGGCCGGTCCTCTCGGACGCGGGGGTCCGGGACTCCTTCCGGGACTCCTTGGTGTCATCCTGGGGTTGGCTGGGCGACACCTGGCCCGCGCTAGGGGACCGCGAGGACAGCTTCGAGTGGCGGCGGTAGCAGTCCGTGCACACGTACGACTGGAAAGGGGCGAGTTCAAGAGTCAGACAGTGAGCCTCCGGCCGCCGGAGCGGTCTAATGGGTGGCCTAGCTTACAGGCGCTCCCCAGTCGTCGCTAGTCGTCGCGTGGAACATGGGCTGCAAATACTACGTAGTACTCACCATGGGCTGCCCCGGGATAGGCGTGGAGCTGGTGGGCACCATGGTGGTCGCCTCGGCGCTTTGCAGGCAGATGCAGCAGGTGGCGGTGTTGGCGTCGGGCGAGCTGGAGGGCTGTTCGGCCTGGCCGCCCTGCAGGTGGAAGCGCGCGTGCAGCCGCACCTCCACGTCGGAGACCAGGGTCTGGCGGCAGATGACGCACTGCACGGGTAGGCAGAGGGGCGCGTTGGCGGCGGTGGGGTTGCCGCCCTGGCCACCCTGGCCGCTGGGCTGCGCGTGCTGACGCAGGTGCGCACGGAACTGCTCCTCGGTGGTGACGGCGGCGCGGCACACCGTGCACGCCGAGCCCTGCACCACCTTGCAGTGGGTCAGCTTGTGCTCGGCGAGGACGGCGGCTGAAGGGCACAGCTCGTCGCAGATGTTGCACTTGTGCTTGCCCGTGCCGCCCAGGCCGGCCGTCCCCTGGTGCGAGTGCGTCTTCATGTGGTTCTCGAGCTCGGCGCGCGACTTGCAGCTCTCGTTGCAGTACGCGCACAGCAGGCTGACGGCGCCGTTCTTGGCGGAGGCGCCGTTGCCTCCGGGGCTGGCCTTGTGGTGGGCTAGCTTGCGGTGCGCGGCCAGCTCCGCCTCGCTGGCGAAGTCGCCGCGATCGCAGATGTCGCACGACGCGCCGGCCTGGTTGTTGTTGAGCAGAGGGTCCGCCAGCGTCGCGTCGCCGTTGGTCTTGGGGACGTTGACGCCATTGGCCTGCTTGGCGGCCTGCTTGCGCTGCTCGCGGTCGCGCTCCGCCTCGCCGGCCGCCCTCGCCGCGTCGCGGTCCCCTTCCCGGGCCACGCCGTTGAGCATCGCCTGGACGCTGCCGGAGTGCTGCGTCTGCATGTGCTTGTCCAGCAGGAACTCGACCTGGAAGGTCTCCCCGCAGAGCGGCATGGGGCAGTGGAACTGGCGCGTGTGCGTGGGCAGGTGGAACTGCAGCTCCAGCTCGGAGGAGAAGGACGCGCGGCAGAACAGGCAGCGGTACGGCCCGCCTTGCTGCTGCTCCGCACTAGCCTCGCGCTCCCTCTCTCGCTCGCGGTCGCGGTGCTCGCGGTCGCGCTCACGCTCGCGGTCGCGGTGCTCTCGATCGCGGTCCCGCTGCTCCCGCTGCTGGTCACGTTGCTGTAGCTTCTGCTGGTACTGTGGAAAGAGCGGGGCGTTAGACGCACTCGGGTTCGGCCGTTCGGCCGTCGTGAAGACTGACCGGACTCTACTCACTTGCAGCAGCAGCGCGTGCGTCGCCGCCAACAGGGGGTGCGAGGCGTGCGCCGTGCGGACGTGGTGCCCGAACTCCCTGTCCGAGCGGAACACCGACGGCGCCGAGGAGGCCGGGCACGCCGTGCACCGGTACAGCGGGCAGGCCGACGAGTGCTTGACGGCGAAGTGCACCTGGATGGCCACCTTGGAGTCAAACAGCTCCTGGCAGAGGGCGCAGCGGTACAGGTGGTGCGCGTGGATGTCCATGAGGTGCTTCTGCAGCTCGTCCGGCTTGGCAAAGAGCTTGCTGCATGTCGGGCAGCCGAACTCGGTGGCCGTGGCCAGGAAGTGCTCGGCGACGTGTCGCTCCAGCTGGCCGCCCACGCTGAGCCGCTCCTCCGAGCTGGCGGCGCTGGCCGTGAACTGCATGCCGCAGTGCGGGCAGCTCAGCCCGGACGGGGACCCACTGGACGGGCTGCGGCGGTGGCTGCGGCGGGAAAAACCGTGAAAAGGACGTCGGGGTTCGAACCCACACCGTGAGTCACGAAGTCAACAATTCGGGTATCGGTGGTATTTCAAATAAAACACGGGCAACTTGTACCTGCGGGAGGGAGGTTCGTCCGCGGCGGGGGGCGGCCCCAGCGGCAGATTACCCAACGGCCCCAGCGGCCCCAGGGAGCCGAGTGGCGTGCCGAGCGGCGTGCCGGGCCCGGGGGGCAGCAGGCCGAGCAGGTCCGCCCCCAGCAGCGAGCGCAGCCCGGCGCCAGACTCCTCCAGGTGGGCCTTGAGGTGCACGCGGAACGACTCGAAGTCGGGCACCGCCGCGCCGCACTGGTTGCACAGCAGAGGGCCTGCCTCGTACTCGCGGCCCTGCGGACACACGACCGACTCATTCAGACCGTCCTTGGGAACGCAACTGACACGCTGGCGCGCAATGCGGATCGCCCAAGCACTCACCATAAGGCCGTCGAGGGGCAGTGGCGGCAGGTCGTGGTTGGCCTTGGACCGCTTGGACGGCGGCATGCCCATGGCCTTGTCGTCGCCCCGATCGCCACGCCTGCCGGACGTCTTCCTGCCGACGCTCAGGTCCGTGGGCTTCTCGTCCTGGTCGCGGCCCTCGCGGCCCTCGCGGCCCTCCCGGCCGCGCTCCCTGTCGCGGCCCGCGGGCGACGGCGACGGCGACCGCGTGAGGGCACCGCCGTGCACCAGGACGTAGTGCTCGGCGAAGGCGGCGGACGACGGGAAGGGCAGCGAGCAGTGCACGCACAGGATGGGGGAAGGGTCGCCCTGAGGACAAGCAGAGGCGTCGAGTGAGCACCAACAGCGGGGGGCCAGTATGCCACAATACCGGAGGAGCAGCGTAGCCAGCGTATAGCCAGCGTAGCCAAGGGATGGTCTTACCAGGAACTTGGGTCCGCTCAGCCCGTGGACGGCGCGCTGGTGCTTGTGCAGCCCGCCAATCGAGTTGAACCTCATGGTGCACAGCTCGCAAGGGATGAGCCCGCCGCCGCTGCCGCCCGCGTTGGGCGTGGTGGGCGTGGGCGGGTTGGGCGTGGTCGGCGAGCCGCGAGGGGGGTCCTCCACCGGGGGCCGCCCCCGCGCGGCTTGCGCCGCCTGCGCCGCCAGGTCGCGGAGCTCGCCGTTGAGCAGCGCGCCGTGCATGGCCTGCACGTGCAGCTGCAGGGCCTCCATGTTGGGGAACGAGTCCTTGGTGCAGTAGATGCAGGCCAGGCTGTGCGGCGGGAAGGGCGACCGCGACAGCGGCGAGTCCAGCAGCAGCCCTCTGCTGGCACTGCGCGACGGCGGCGACCCCATGTCCACGTGGTGCTGGCTCGCCATGTGCGACTGCAGTCAGAGACACAAGTTAGACACGACTCCGGAAAGAAAAAGAACCGCGCCTGTCTCACACAAACCTGCAGGTCCTCCGGCTTGCGGAAGCAGTCCCCACACTGCAGGCAGCGGAAGGTGCCCGGCGACGGCGTGTTGTCGGACGACGCCCGGGACGACGAGCGGCCGTTGGAGGCGCCGCCGTTGGACGCCGAGTCGGCCGCCTTCTTGTGGTTCTGCATGTGCGAGGTGAGCGCGGCCGCCGTGTTGTAGCCGCGGTTGCACACCGTGCACTGGAACGGCTTCTGGTTGTCGTGCGTCTTCATGTGGATCTTGAGGTGGTCACTGCGACACCAAGCAAGATTAGACGGTGAAAAGCTGCGCCTGGCATCGTCGCCACACTCAGAACACCTTCTTCTCGGTGATCGCATCCTACCCGTTGGGCTCCCTGCGCGACAGGCGGGGGCCCAGCGCCCTCGCGTCCCCCCGAGGACTCAACCCGAGGCCCCACGCCGAGCCGAGCGCCGGGGGAGGGTAGGCACTGCCTCGGCAGGGAAGGCCCCGGGAGGTCGACCGAGCTGCCTCCGTCCCGGTCGACCCCGTCTGCAGAGCGCTGCAGAGCCCGGCAGGGTGCGCGTCGGCGCGTCGGCGCGCACCGCGGTGCAGCAGCCCGATTCCGAACAGCGATTTCGTCGCTCCGTCTCTCCTTCAAGAGCGAGAGAGAGGGACGAGGCTCTGTTCGGGATAATCGGTCTGCGAGTCCCCTTTCGAAACTCCCCCTATCACGGCGGCGGCAGCGCGGCGTGGCCGAGGGCGTGGCGCAGCTGGCGGCACGACGGTAAAACACAGGGGGGGGGGTGGGGGAGGGGCATGCTGGGGGGGAGGAGGGCGGAGCGAGGCGGGGCGAACCGCGCCAACCCAAAGCGGTGATCATCGAGCTCGTGATGCCAAAGGGGTGTGGTTCCGCGTGGTCAAAGCGGCCGTCGCCCTGGACACGGCGGACATCCTGACAAACCGTACATACCTGCGGCTAAAGGCGGCCTCGCACTGGGTGCAGCGGTACTTCTTGTCGCCGGTGTGCAGCTTGATGTGGCGGTCGCGGCTGCGCTTGTGCTTGAACAGCCTGCTGCAGAACTCGCACCGAAACGGCATCTGGTCGCTGTGCGTCTGCGGGACGGAGAAAGAAAAAAAAACGACATTAGTAATTTGCTATTATTCATTTTATCTGTCACCGCGCGTGAGCGGTTTTGCAGTGTCGGCGGGGTGGGGCGGGAGAGGGGGGGGGGGAGGAGTAAGTGCGGCTGCTTTATTTACCAGCGGCACCCACCTGACACTAATCACCGTGTAATTGCCGCGTTAGGCAACACCCAATTATCGCGCTCGTATCGCGCCTCGCCACAGTGTAGCCACCAGCGTAGCCACCGCAGAGCGACCACACTGGCCATGGCCATGAGTCATCGCGATGATAATTAAAAACAAAACAAAAATTAGCATCGGGAGAAGCCGCTGCGGCGCACCACTACAAAAAAAGGAAAGGATTTGGCTGATTTTCTCAAACACAACCGCCGGCGATACTTTTCCACCCCGTTTTTTGTTTTGTTTCGTTTTTTATTGTTGCTTTCCTCCGGTCTGGATCTTTATTTCCCCGCTGCAAAGTAAATCGAGCGCCTGTTGGCTGTTAATCGGCGCCACGGAACGGGTGAACGGGCCTCTCCTAATGGCGTGCCTGCCCATCAAGTGAGGCGATGGCGATCCATTCGGCACAACGGCTGACTCCGCGAGCCGTTTTCGTCTCGCGCGCTCTTGGGGCGTCCCGTACAGGTGCGAGAGAGACAGAGCACCGCGTGCGTCTGCGCTTGGAGCGTGCTCCATCGGCCCCCCCACAGGACAGCCCCCCCCCCCCCCTTGCTCAAGCGCCAAACTTTGTGTCTGTCCGTTCTGGTTCCAAGTGGGAGCCTTGGTGGGAGCGCGCGCGCGTTGACATCACTGCGCCACTGGCGGGGATCCGCCGGCGGGAATTTCAACGCTGCCATGTTGGCCATGTTGGGGGTGGTGGAGAGTCGAGATGCGCCGCTACCGTCGTTTCGTTTTTCAATACTACGTCAGTGTTGCGGACTTGCGGGCACGAACCAGCCGGGTCTTTCCTACGCGCCAATTATCATAACCAGAGACCGACCGAGCGGTGCCGAAGAGTCGTTTCATCGCACTGTCTCTCTCGCACCCTTACGGTACGCCCCGCGAGTGCGACAGAGACAGCGCGACGCGACGTCTCTTCGGCGTCAGTCTGCAGTCGCGGCTAACTGGCTAACGAGTAAAGAAACCGCGCGTGGCCGCGGCACGCACGCAGAGGCAGGCCGACGCACGCCGAAGCACGCCGAGGCGCGCGCCGTCGCCAAGCGGCCGACTTTTCTTTACTTCATTTCCCCGCAGTGATTTTTAATTTGTTACAGTTAGCCCCACGGCACGAGACGAGTAGCCTGAGCGCGCGGCGCGATCTGCGCTGCGTTCACACGAGCCGCTGCCGCGCCCTGGAGGTGGCCGTCGAGGCCGTGCTGCTTGACCCTTTCAAAACGATATCGCGCCCGCCTCATCTCCATGCAGTGCCTCGTCATCCTCACACGCGGGTCCTCGCCCCGCCCCGCCGCCCCGCCCCCCCCCCGTGGCGTGCTGCAGCGTGCTGCGGCGGCGTCCCAGTCGCATTTGTCACGGTCGCCGCCGCGGAAATTCCATTTTTTCCTTCCGGCCCTGCGGGCCCTACAGTGCAGGCACCAGGCCCTGCCCGGCCCTGCCCGGCCCTGCCCGGCCGGCGGCCCCTCGGGTCGGCCTGACCAGACACCGGACCAGACATTAGTCGGGCCGAGGCGCGATTCCGAGAAAAGTCACGAGTTCACAGTGCTGCTGCCCGCTGCCGTTCCGCGAGGCCTATTTTCCCCCTTCTTTTTTCTTCCCGCCGTCCTTCGGCCGCGTCGCCGCCTCGCCGCGCCGCCCCGACGGCCAGGGAACAAGACGCGAGTGTCGCGGCTCGAGGTGCCGTCGACCAATCAGAGCGATCTGGATTACGGGCTGTCCGGACAGTGTCCGCGTAGAGTCCGCGACCAACGACGCCCTGAACATGAACCCTTCCAGCATCCTGATTGCCGGACGGTCCTCGCTGCCCCCGCGGAGCTGCGAGTGCGAACGGGCAACAGGCGGGCCGCGCCGGGCCGTTCGCCTTTCGAGACGCCCCACCCCGCCCCACCCCACCCCCCCACCCCCCCCACCCCCCCCGCCCCGCCTTTGTTTCCCGTGAATGGATTAAGGCGGCCGTCAACCGCGTCATTAAGTGGCTCATTTGGGCGGCTTCCTCTGCTTCTCGCCTCGCCTTCCGGGCCGGCGGGGCAGGCCGGCTGGACGCCGGCGGGTGGACGCCGACGCCGGGGCCACTTGGACTCCACTTGGGTGGCACTGGCACTGGCACCTCCGCGACGACCCCGGCCGGGGCGGCGGGGCCCTCGCTGGAGCTGGAAATGAAGCCAGTGGAAACGTTCCTGGAAGCGCGCTGCGAGTCGCGTCGCGTCCCGCGCGCCTGACGGGCTGACGGGCTTGACGGCCAAGGCACCCCGCATCCCTCTCCCTCACTCGCTTGTCTAGAAACCATTTCACAGCCCTGGCGACAAAAACGGGAAAACGGGCCGCGACTTAAGTGCCTCCCGATCCGGCGGGGACGCGGACGCGGACGCGGGGGGCGACGGCCGAACCGAACCGTTTACGGCGGCCCTGCCGGCGGCCCTGCGCCGCCCCGCCGCCCCGGCCGGACGACGCGCCGCGGCAGCGCGGCACACTGCGCGGCACACTGTGCGGCACACGAGCGGACGGCGTGCAGCTTGCTTCCGAACAGTGCTCTGTCTCACTCCCTCTCACGGACTCACAGGCTGTTCCGCGAGAGTGCGAGAGAGCGCGACGGACCACTGTTCAGGCTTCGTACTGCCTGCCTGCCTCCCGCCCCGCACACTCGTTTTTCTGCAGCAAAGCCAACCAACGCCCATTATTTTCTGCGCCCGCTTTTTCCTCCGCTCTGTCCTCTTCATTTTAATTCGCCGCACTGCCAGTGTGCCAGTGTGTGCGTGCGGTGCGTGCGCGGGGTGAAAGGCTGAACGGTTGAAAGACTGATGCCATCGCAGCACCGCATCACTGTCATCAAGGGACGAGGCTGTCATCGCTAGGACGGCGTATATGGCGAGGCCGCGGCGCCCATAGTGAAGCCCTTCCAAGCGCGGAGCGCGGGGCACTTCTTGGAGGGGCGCGGCGAGGCGAGTCACAGTCGCATTTGCTGGCCCCACCGCGCGCGGCGCCGCGCTGCGCTGTCCGCAGTGTAGTCCGATTGCAAACAGAGCTCCGTCGCGAAGAAAGACGGATGTGCCTCTCTCGCACTCACGGGGCGTTCCGTGTGGGTGCGAGAGAGACAAGGGCCTCGTCGCCCGGACGCGCGTTGACGCGGTGACCCAAACGCACGCACGAGGCGGGTCCGCTTTACGGCCGCCCTGGCACACTGTGTCCGAACTGTCTCTGTCTCTCTCGCCCTCATGGGGTGATCCATGGGGGTGCGAGAGAGACAGAGCGCAGAGGTGACTCTTCGGATTGGCCCTGCGCTAACGAGCGGAAATCGTTTACGCGACTTTCTTTACGCGCTTTCATAAAGTCCGGCCGGGCGGACCACGGGGCCACAGGGCCACGGGACCACAGGGCCACGGGACCACAGGGCCACGCGGCAGCGCGGCGTCACTTCGCTTCGGTTCGAATGTTTGGCGGCCAGAGTCCCCCAGACGACACAACGGCGACGTCGCGGTGCCGCGGTCGCCTCGTCCACTTCCTCGCTGCTCCCTATTTTTCTTTTTTCCCTGTCGTTACCGACGGGCTCGCCGCGACGCCGCGACGCCGCCGGGACGACTGGCTCGGGGCTAGTGACATTTCCTTCTGCAGAAAAATTCCCGAGCGGCGGGGCCGGCGGGGCGTGGCAAGATGAATGGGTGAGAATACTGGTTCTAGACCTCTACGGTGCGTCCACGGTACGCCTCGCGAGGCCTCGCCGTACGCCAAGGTATGGTGTGCCGCCAGTGCGGCAGCGCCGCAGCGCCGCGGTGATCCTGGACGTGGCCCCGCCCCGGCAGCCCCGGTACGGGGAAGCAGGCTCATTGCTCTAGAGTGCCGGTGTGCCTTGCGGTGTGCTGCTGCGCCGGTCGGGGCTGCTCCTCTTTTTCCCCACTGCCCAGCGATTCAGGAGAGTCGTTTTGTCGCTCTGCCTCTGTCGCACTCATGGGGCTCTCCGTGAAGGTGCGAGAGAGACTGCGCCAAGAGGCGCTCGGCGGTTGCTCGGCTCGTCAGCGTTTTCCTCCGTCCCGCCGATCCGATATTTCACCACGGCGGCATGATGCTCTGCACCACCAGGAGCCAGTCTGCTTTTTTCCCGCCGGCCACGCCTAGGCCGCCGCCAACCCCGGCGAGGGGCCGCGGGGGCGCCCAGCCCACCTCGCCGGGACGCGAACCCGCGGCTCGGCGGCGCGGCATTGGCGATGGCGGTCACGTGGATGGCCTGCCGCTGCTGTCGCTGTGGCTGTCTTGGCTGGCCTCCGGGCGCCCGGCAGGCACACTGCCCCGCCGCGCTCCGGCGCTTGGCGGTACGGTCGCCGCGCAGGGGCTCTCCGCGCCACTCCACTGCACTCCACGCGCGCTCGGCGCCTCGGCGGCCCAGATTAGAAACCGCGCGCTTTTTATGGGCAGCGAGATGCGGGGCTGGGCGGCAGAGCGGGGCACTTACAGCGTATGAGTGGCAGGTGCCGCAGGTGCCGCGCTCCACAGGTGGCGGGGAGGGCGCCGCCGAGTACGAGACTGAGGAGCAGGCCGCGGCCAGCCAGGCTGCCGCCACAGGTGGCCGTCGAGCACTCGGTGGAGCACTCGGCCGAGCACCTCGAGAGGAGCGGGAAGCTGGAGACGAGCGAGACGCTCATCTCGTTATTGAACGATTATCCCGACAGTGGCACGGCTCGCTGCGACTCGCTGCGCCTGCACCTGTCGGCCGGCCAGCTTGCGCGGCCGCGCGGCCACGCGGCTTGACGGCGGGCGGCGCTGACAGCCGCGCGTCCACGCGGATGCGTCCCGGACGGTAACGATGACGTCGGCACCGCCAGGCTGCCGCCGAGGGTCGGCCGCGTTGAATAATGCAAGGTCGGCGCCATTTTAATAGTGGCGGCCTTTTAATTTGGCGACCGCGGTCGGCCTAGCTGCAGTCCTGGCAGAGTCCTGGCAGTGCCCTGGCACTCGGCGCGGCGCAGCGGCGCTTTCAAGTCGGCCACGCAGTACGCAGCGAGCCGAGCAAAGAAAGACCACGTGCCAGTGTACGTACGTCGCGGCCGGGCCTGGAGCCTGCGGCCGGGCCCTGCATCGAGCCGAGCCGAGTCGCCTCCTGCAGCTTCTCTGGAATGTAGACGAACGTGGAGACACCCCGACGGGACGGCGGCCCGCTGTGGCGCGACGCGGAGGCCTCTCGCATGACGGGCAATGAGCGTTTACGATACGGGCACAGGCCGCGTGCCTGGCCGCGCTGCACCGCACCGCACTGCACCGCACTGCACCGTGGCGGCATGTTGGGCCAGCACGCCAGGCCAGCCAGGCCAGCCAGGCCAGCCCGGCGACCTGAACGCAAGTGCCAAAGCCAGCGGCCTGCCCCGCGCGGCCAGCGACCACAACAACAACTTCAACAACGTCTTCAGTGTTGTCAATCGTTTGCCTCCAGGCAGGGCGTTCAAACAGCCCATGCACCTCGCAGCGTCGCGCGCGCCTCCAGCGTCCACCTCGTTTCTGGAGCCTGGCAGCCTGGCGGGGCGGGGCGGGGCGGGGCGGGGCGGGGCGCGGCGGGGCAGTGCGTCGTTGATAGGATCGCGGGCTTCGTTTCGTGTGCCTTAGTCGCCTTGCGGCCTGGCGGTCTGGTCCGCGGCCGGCTGGGCGCGAGCGTGTCTTGCTGGAGCGCTGGAGCTGGAACCCCCGCGCCGGGGACGCCGGGGACGCCGGGACACCCCTGATAACCTCCAGCCGCCGCACGTATCGCATCGCCCGGCCAACACGTTTTAATTTCTTTGTGATGGCCGCCGTGGCCGCCGCCGTGGCCGCCGCCGTGGCCGTGCATGACAGTATCTCACCACCGGCGGCGGCGGTCAAGGGGCCCCGTCAGGGCAGAGCAGCACAGGGGCGGGGCGCGGCGCGGCGCAGCGTTTGGAGACCCGCTCAAGGCCTCATGAGTGCGAGAGAGACAGAGCGACCGACGGCGCGAAGGGAGCGCGCTTTCCACGGCGGCCTGCTTGCCGCCCTCGCGCCGCTCCACGTTCATGATGTATGGCGGGGCGGGACCCAGGCCTCGTCCCAGGCCATGACGGACCGGGTGCCGTGGTGCCTTGTTCGCGTTCTAGCGCCGGATAGCCGGACATAGGACGCGTCCCCCGAGGCCGCCGCGGCACAGCCTGCCTGGCACGGCCTGCCTGGCCTGGCTCGTTGGATTGGGACTCGCGGCCGAGGCCACTCCGGCGACGGCGCCGACGGCCTTCAGGACGCTTGACAGCAAGACGAAGCGCCACCCATCGCGGTTTTAACTTTATTTTCGAAACTAGTGTTTCTTGGGGTGTAGCAAGGTTTTTTGGGGCGCGCTCCTCTGGTCCTCCTACAGTATGCGTTGTGGTCGGAGATGCGGCAAAGGCGATGGTGCCGAGTGATGACACGCGCCGAAATCGCGCGCCGCGGCTTTTTGCGGCAGACGATGCCGCCCCGCCCCGCCGTCACCGCGTGTGTTGATGGATGGGGACGCCTTCTGTCCCCGGCCGGGGCGTTGTAGCGCTGCAAAGGCCGTGCACCGCTAATGGTGGCCCAATAAGCCAGTAACTCACGTAAGGCGCGCCTCTGTGTGTGTGTCTGTGTGGACTGCCCGCTGGCCGTGCCGCCTTCCCTCAGAATGAAATCGCAGGTCCCATCTCTGCCCTGTGCCCCTCGGTGCCCCCGTCGTGGTCCAGGCCGTGCCATGGGCCGCGCCGTGGGCCGCGCCGTGAGTATGATGTATGCGACGGTGACCCAAGACCAGGCGGCGGCTCCCTGGGCTGCCCCTGTCCGGCCCCATACCGTCCACGGCATTCCGAAGAAGCCCCTGCACGTCGTGGACGTCGTCCCAGCGGCGCGTCGCCGCGGCGTGGGCACGCCGTCCACCACACTGGCCCGCGACAGAGACGAAAACACTCACCTGCTCGTGCTTCTTGAGGTAGGACAGGCGCGGGAAGGCCTTGTCGCAGAAGGAGCAGGCGTAGGGCGTGCCCTCGGTGACGCCGACGGTGAAGGCGAGCTCCGAGTCGGCCACGTCCGTCGCCGAGTTGGGGGTCGCGCAGCTGCTGGGCGACGGCGACGTGGCGTCCTCGGGCGTCTCGGAGCGCCACGAGGAGCCGGGGTCCGTGCCGAGGGCATCTGCAACAACGACCGCACTTGTTTCAAACTGCTTGTAAAAATCCCGACTACAGTACACACTCCGCCCGATCCGAAGCGAAGCGCCCTCCGTTTTATTCGTGTGATCGGGCAGCCCGACCCGAAAGTAGTCCCGTCGCTCTGTCTCCGTCGCACTCGTGGGAATCGTGGGGCCGCGCCGGGCCGCGCGGACGGGTGCGAGAGAGACAGACGACGCGACTCTCCGGAGTCGCTCGGCCGGCTCATGTGCTTACGCAGCGTCACAAGTCGCCGGAAGGGCTTCATAAGGGCTTGGCTGCAGCAGCTCGTCTTTATTTCCAGCGGGTCCGATTTGAAAACAAAAGTCATTAATAAAAAGGCCGTAAAGGAGCCGTCATAAATGGGGAGCAGCGGGCCGTGAAGCCGTGACTCGTACACTGTAGAGCGGCGCCGCGACGCCGCGTGGGTGGCTGGGCCGGCGGCTCGCTGGCGACATGGCGGCGTAATTATTCTATTAGCGCGACGAGCGTTGTCGACAACATGTGAGCAGCACGTCTCAATCCAGCTTTTTAATGAGGAAATCAGTAATCTAGCAGCGCGGCAGTAAAGGCGAATGAAGGAAAAGTGTTTATAACGACCTCGCGATCAAGTTATTCCATTAGGAGAGAATCAAGACGACCCGCGTGGATAGGGGAGTCGCGACAAAACGGGAGCGGGTTGAGGAGGGGGAGGGGAGGGGGCGAAGAGGAGAGAAAAATATTTTGGGCTGTTAGACAAGCCACAACGCAGCGGGGGTTGGAGCAAGGGCGTGGGCCCGCTGGCTGTGCTGGCTGCTTGCGCCACGACATGTGACTTCATTAAACATACCGGGATGTCACCCCAGCATTGCCCGGCCTTGCCGTGGCCTGGCCGTGCCTGGCCGTGCCTGGCCCAGCATGGGTCGCTATCGCCGTCTCTCTCGCACGCCCGGCCGGCCCGGCCCGGGCCGCCACGCCACCCCGGTGCAGTGCGCAGCGTGCGCGGCACACACGGCGTATTGGTGTCGTCATAGATTTCCCAGCGCCTTCCCGCGGAGGCAGCGGCTGGACATGGAGCGCCTGATTTAGAATGCCACGCCGCGGTCCCGGACGGGCCGGACGGGCCGGACACGCACCGAGAGAGGCACCGAGCAAACGTGCGATGTTCCAACGCAATGCCGTACGTATCGACAAAATATGATATGCGACGTCGCCGCGGCGGGCAGACGGCGGACGGGCCGGCCGGCCGACCGGGGGGGGGGGGGGGGGGGGGAGACGGCCGTGGAAGAGCGAGGAGAGTCCAGGCCCAGCTCGCCAAGCTCATCGAGCTCATCGAGTCGGCTGCAGTGCGTATTGGAGATTTGTCCGGCCGGAAAGAACCCTCAGGTTGCTTTATACGCAAAACTTGATCTTTTTCTGGATTTCGTTTCGGTCAGTGCACTAGGGACAAAGCCGTCTCCGGCCGCTCCAGCCTCCAGCAGACTCCAGGGCGTCCTGGACCGCCACACAAGTAGTTGGTCATTTGCCTGTCTCCCCCGCCACCCGGCCGGCGAGCGCGGCGTCCGTTCGGCCCGCTCCGTTCCCACCGCCGCCCCGCGCCCCCCCGCGCCGGACACCGCCTTGCCGCCTCGCCGTCCAGATTGGGCGCAAGGACACACAAAAAGGGGCAAAGTACCTGCCGGCCGGCCGGCCGGGCCAGAGGGCTCGCGACGACGCGGGCCTGGCCCAGCCTGGCCGTCGGGGACCTCCCTGCCCTGCCCCGGTTTGTTCGCCTTTCGAACGGCGGAACGGAAATCGATCATTAAAGCGCGGAGAATGAACGTCTGGCCGGTGAGGCGGTGGCGGCGTGGTGGCGGCAGCTCGGCGCCCAGGTCGTTTGTTCAAAGAGTTGGCCCCCATTCAGCAGCGCGTCGCGGAGGGGCCACTTGGCTGGGTGCGGCCACGCCACTGCCACGCCACTGCCGCTGCCACGCCACTGCCACGCCAAGGCGTCGCCACCTCGGCGGGGCCCGGCCCGTGAGGCCCAGCCCGCCCCGCGGCGCTCGCGAGGAAGAGCCCCCTCCGCCACGCCAAAGTTTAGCCGCCGCGCTGCTCCGTGCGAGATGAGGCCCACGGCGCTTTTGGGCACTACACTGCGCGAAAAGGCGGGCAGGCAGGCAGGTAGGGCCCAGACAATACGCAGCACACCCCCGTACCCCGAAGGCCGCAGGGAAAGGAGAGAGGGACAGGGGGCGCAGGGAGAGAGGCCCAGAAAACACGGAGGGGGAAGGGGGGGGGGACAATCAGGCGAGTCCAAGTGAGCAGCAGGCCCAGTCAGGCCCAGCCAGGACAAGCAAGCCAGGCTCCCAACAGCACAATGAGTAAAACGCCGGCCTTTGAGCGGAATGGAGACATCCTGTGTGAGTGTGTGAGTGTGTGAGTGTGTGTGAGCGCGCGCGGATAGGACCGGCCAACTGGACCAGGCCGCCTTCGCGCCCACACCCCTGGCAGCGTCAAGTGAGCGCTTGTGTGTGTGTGTGTGTGTGTGTGTGTGTGTGTGTGTGTTTTGCGTTTGGACGTGTGTGTGCGTGCGTGAGTTGTAACGCCCCCACCCCGCGAGGCCGCCTCCTCCCCCACGCGAGTACATTTCATGGCATGACGGAAATCATTACCCAGATGGGCCAACTAACACTCCATATGCCGGGTGGCCAGTGCGCCGCCAGGCAGGCCCTGGCCCCTGGCGCTGGCGTTGGTGTGTAAACGGCGCGTGATGAGAGAGGATGGACCGGCCGTTCCCTGACCGCCACAAGGCCCGCCAAGGCCAGCCGGGCCTCCAGTTTGAGGGAATTAAGACATCCTGTCCGTGGTGGCCGTCGTGGTGGCCGGCGTGGTGCCGTGCCGAGCCGAGCCGCCGTGCCCCTTGGCCAAAGTGGACACCCGCACGTCCCCGGCGTCGAGGCGGCGGCGCGTGGCCTGGCGCGGCAACTCTATGGCGGCGACGCGTGCCGGGCGGCAACCCTATGGCGGACGCCCCGCAATTACGCCATCAAAATGCACATTAATTCCGGCGGGCAATTGAAAGCACGGCGTCGAGGAGGCGGACACCGCGGACTGCGGACGGCACACTGTGACGGCGCGACCGACAACGCCGAGGGCGGCCGAGGGGCAGAGGCAAGCAGCGCGGAAGCAGCGAGGCGCCAAGACAGCGAACCTTTCTGCACCAAGTCCCTGGCCGGCCATTGCGGCCAAATAGGGCTCCCCGCCCGCCCATTGCGCGGGCCAAGTCGCCCCGCCCCGCCCCGCCCCGCCCCGCCCCACCCCGCCCCGCCAAGGCGTTCGTTCCTTATTTATAGAGTATACATACTAGATCTGGCGCATCAGGCGCGCCTTTCTCTGAGTGCGCGGCGCGTGGCCCATCGCGAGGGATTGGCACGCCCGGCGCGGCCACACACACACACACACATACAGACAGACACACACGCACACACACGCAGACACACGACGCGCAAATAACGGAACGCGCGTAAATTTGCAACCGGGATCACGCTCGGCGCCTCCATGCAGCACGTCGCCGCGCCGGGCCGCGCCGCCTGGATGGCCTGTATCTCTTCATTTACGCCCCACGCGCATGGCGTCCGCGCGCCGCGAACGACAGCCGCAACAATATGATAATTTATACGAGGAAAAACGTCAATCCTTTCCGCGGAATCCTCTTACGACACGAAGAGAGAGAGAGGGGGGGGGCAGGCAGACAAACAGACAGACAGACAGGCAGACAGACAGACAAACAGACAGACAGACAGACAAACAGACGGACGGACGGAGGGCGGGGAAAGGCCGCGCGCCGCCTCTCGTCGTCGCGGAGGTGCCGCAACGCCGCGCCACACCCACGCCCCTCCACGACGGCTTGGCGCGGCCTGGCGGGCCCTGGCGGGCCCTGGTGGGGCCTGGAGGGGCCCGGCGTCATGCGAATGAGGTACGTGAACATGCCTTATTCCCAGGGCGGGGCGGGGCGGGGCGGGTGTGAGAGGGCGCGCCGAGCAGCGGGCGAGCAAGCCACACAACACAATACCGATCCATCTCAATTACATTTAAGAGCGAAACGAGGCGAACGAGCTCACTGGAAGGCACTGGAAGGGGTCGCGGCCCGGCGGCCCAGCAGCCCGGCCGGATCAAAATGTGTCGCTCCAGGCAGGGCGAGGCAGGGCGAGAGGGAAGTGCGAGCGAGAGGGACGCAACGCGCCAGCCTTTAATTTTGGGGCCGGGCGCCAAACACGGCACAACCCCGCGAAGATGCAGCGAGTGAAACATTCACGCGGGGCCACGTTTGCAGTGGGGGGGCCTCATTTCCCATGTACCTGCCACACGCTGGCGCGGAATGACCCCCCGGAGCAGGGCTGCCCGGCCTGGCCGGAAACACAAACAGTGTACCGGCGCCACCAGCACCCCTGCATGACGCGCAGCGCACGGCGACGACGGCGACGCTCAGACCTCCAGACCACATTCACTTCACCAGGCGGCCGCTCCAAAGAGGAGCGCGCATTTGTCTTCACCATCCCGAATCCCGCGCGGTGGACCCGCGAGGTCCCCTTCCTCGTCCTTTCACAGAACGCACACACACTGGAAAACAAAATCGAGGCTAATTTATCTCCTCCTCCTTCCTCGTTTGCTTGTTGTTGTGTTGCGTTGTTGTTTCCCTCGAGACATTGATTTCGCAACGCGGACCTTTTGTGGTCCGCATCCTGAAGCGCGTTGCAATGGAGATGCCTATCAGCAGACTGATTCCGAGAGTCGCCGCTCTGTCTCTCTCGCACCTGTCCGGGACGCCCCACGAGTGCGGAGAGACAGAGAGACGACAACGACTGTTCCGGATTCAGTCCGCAGTCCTCACGGCAGGTGCGACCCGTTTTGGCGGTGGCTGTACACCGTACACCGCAGGCCCTTCCTTTTTCTCGAGGCGGGGCGACGGGGCGACGGGCCGGGCCAACTCGATTACGGCATCGAGGCGACACGGCGCGACACTGCGAG